ATTTATTTTATTTTATTATTATTTTTAATCTTCTCCCAAGGATATTTTTTCCATTGCTTTTCAGAGAGAGTGGAAGGGAGAGAGAGAGATAAGAGAGCAACATGATGTGAGAGAGAAACCGCCCACACGCACCCTGGCCAGGGCCGGGGATGGAGCCTGCATCCGAGATACATGCCCTTGGCCGGAATTGAACCCGGGACCCTGCAAGTCTGCAGGCCGATGATCTAACCATTGAGCCAAACCGGCTAGGGCTCTTCCTTTTTTTTAACCTATGTCTCCATTTGCCAGCTTGATATGTATATAGGATAGGCAGGGGAGAGTATCGCCTTTAGATTTAAAAAAAGGTATCTACACACATCAATATTTATCGCAGAGCCTAGGCATTTTTCATCTTTGCCAATGAAGAAATAAATAAGGCATTCATTTTAAAGCAAACATATTGTACAATATTACATTCTCATGCAGGATTTTATGGTATGTGAAATACATTATTTCATGCAGCAAAACAAAGTCAAGAATACACTGAAATGACAAAGACGGTAAAAGGGTGAGTAAATGTAAAGTAAACAGGGTGAGCATAAAAGGATTTATGAGAAAAAAGACCCTCAAAACAAAAAGCTAGCTTCCCCATGATATGATCCCAAGGTATCAACTAAGCCCACTATGCTTTTGATATGGGCTTGGGAGAAGTGAAAATAAATAGAAATGTACCAAAGCATTTCATAAAGCATTCTTTATCTTCTTACCCAGGAATGCTGCCATGTTCATGACTTGACTAAACACACAGCTCGCAGGAGGTTCATCACCTGCAATACTTGAAAAATATGACATGTTTTATTATTACTATATTAAAATCTATAACCCTCTGCAAAGGACTGAATGTGTCCCCTCAAAATGCATATGTTGAAATCCTAACCCCCTAGTATAGTATTAGCAGGTAGGACCTCTGGAGATAGTTAGGTCCTAAGGGTGGAGCCCTCATGAATGGAATTAATAATGCCTTTATAAAAGGGGCCTCTCTTGCCCTGGCTGGTGTGGCATTATCCCATGCACTGAAAGGTTGAGGGTTCGATCCCCAGGCAGAGCCACATGCCCAGGTTGTGGGCTTGATCCCTGGTGAGGAGTCGTGCAGGAGGCAGCCAATCGATGTTTCACTCTCACGTTAATGTTTCTCTCCCTCTTCTTCCCTCTCTAAAAAAATCAATTAAAAATTCTTTAAAAAAAAAAAGGGACCTCTCGTGTCCTCTTTCCACCCTATGAGGATGCAATGAGAAGACGGCAGTCTGCAGCCCAGAAGAGGGCTCTCATTCGAACCTGGCCATGCTGGCACCCTGCTCTTGGACTTCTAGCTTCCAGACTGCGAGAAATAAATTTCTGTTGTTTATAAGCCACCCAGTCTATGCTACTTTGTTACAGAAGCCCGAATTATGAGCCTCCCCAACTTTTTCTAAGATCCAATAGATCCGAAGAGAATTATCAGATTACCTTATATATGGTGCATGCTTCACACCTGGTTTCCTGGAGGACAGAAAACAAAGAAGCTCAGGTTAAAGCGCAGTCGTCTGTGCAGTTTAACCTCACCAGTGGCAACGTTTTTGCTGGGTTTATTGATGAACAGAATTACCCAGAGATAAACTTTACCTTTCAGCTGAATTTAATGGTAAAATTTTGTCATCTTCCACAGCTATAAAGTATCTATGAATAAAGAAAAATAAAAGTATATGAAACAAGGAATTAAAAAAAAACCAAACATTTGTTTTCCAGTTTTATTAGATTAACCACATTAAATCCTATTTACTTTTTTCCTAACCAGGAAAATGCTCTTTTACTACAATGCTTTGCCTTTAGATAATCCAGCTCTTTGAAGCTCAAATGTCATTATTAATATTTCTTTAATTTTCAAAACATTTCCCAAATTAATGGAAATCATTATAATCTGAAAACTGGAAAACAAATAAGACCTTACAACTTTGGGCAAACTAAAATTCGAATTCAAATTTTTTAATTTCTCAGGCAACCTGTTTTAATGAACTGCAAGGAACTAAAATAATTTTCTACAAGTGAGTACTTAAAATAAGCAAGAGTGGGAATGTTTTGTGATAAGTCAAGACTTCCAATGTAATGATACCCATTTTATAAACATACCAAACCCAGTCTCACTCACACACACACACACACACACACACACACACACACACACAAAACAAAACACGCCATGAAACTGGCCTATGAATTGGATTGTAGTGGAATCCTTAGGATGTTAGTGTCAAATTAGCAAGTCTTGCAAACAATGGCTCCATATCACCAGTTCCTAGGATGCTCATTACTGGAAGAACATGGGAACACAAAGCAAGTCTAGTGGGCCTCACTACCTGCGTTGCATAATTCATTACTCACTCTTGTTATTTACTTTGCATAACAGAAGAAGGGAAGNAAACACGCCATAAAACTGGCCTATGAATTGGATTGTAGTGGAATCCTTAGGATGTTAGTGTCAAATTAGCAAGTCTTGCAAACAATGGCTCCATATCACCAGTTCCTAGGATGCTCATTACTGGAAGAACATGGGAACACAAAGCAAGTCTAGTGGGCCTCACTACCTGCGTTGCATAATTCATTACTCACTCTTGTTATTTACTTTGCATAACAGAAGAAGGGAAGGGAATGGGGACTTCAGCAAGGCTGATTCATAAACATTATTTTAAAGTATTTGTAAATACATTCACACAGATATGCCACATGCTATCAAAGTCACATGTATCTACACTGCGCCTCAGTCCTTAAGTATAATTAAGAGAGTACTCACACTATCCACAGTCCAGCCGACGTAAACAAAGTAAATACAAGAGGTAAAAACATCCACACGCTGCATTTCTTCCCATCCATACCGGCACCACTGAAATAAAACGAACAGGTGTCAACAGCAAAGGCAAAAGTTTCTACAGGACAGACAGGAAATTCCCTTTTACTGAAAAAGAGTGTATTTTAGGAAACCATGGTTCAAACCAGTATCATTACAGCCACCTACACAGGTGGGAAATCCTTGGGCAGGTAACATGGATGACTTATCTAGCATTAGCTCAAATATCCCAGAGTCTTAGTTGAGAACTGATGGAAAATTTCTCATAACGACATTTATCCTTACACAAGCATCAATGTATTTAAAAAAGTACAAAAGGGTTTGGGCTAGGACTTGGAGGAGAAGGTTTTGGGTTAGTAGGTACCAAAGACAAACTCCAACCGACTAACATTTATGGATTTATGGATCTATGGATTCAGCATGTACTGATGTCTACAGTCTAGCTACCAAGAATGTTAGAAACAAATGGTTACTAAATAAATGAGCAATGCAGGAGGAAATGACAAATGCTTTGCAAATCTGAATTTTTTTCATGACGTGTTATTGAGCAACGATCTCAGAAGACTCTAAAATGAATGCTTACAAAACGTGTTGTGTATAACTTTAAATTAGCTCCTACAAACACAATGGGGGAAAAGCCAGATGCTAGGCATTTTAGATGTTATATTTTAAAGCAGAAAAATATAAAAAATTCCCCACCAAAATAAAGTGGAAGGCAGAAGCTTCAGAAGTGTCTATGAAAAATTATTGGTATAGAACAGAAAGAAATAACTACCACTTTACTTTGCCCAAAACCATCTGACAAAATCTATTTGAGACACTGGATGCCAATAATCCTTACGGCAAAAAGCACTGGTTCCAAGAAAATAAAGTACCCTAGTGGCCTCCACAGGTGACCTGACAAGCAGAAGGATGGAATTACATGGCATCTCTAGGGAGAAGTCGCTTCTCGTTGTTTTGGGTTTTATAATTAACTGGGAAAAACTGTTTATTGGGTGTGAACCAGCACTGTCACATTCTGTGATATCAACTCTCATAATGCTGACATCCCTTGGACTTTCCAAGTGTTGAGAACAGAGAGAGAACATGGCCTTCCCGTTAGCATAGTAGTCTAAGGTGTCAGGAAGGTCTTAGTTCCCAAAACTGACCTACTTGATTAGGTAGATCTTTCAGGCAGAGGGACAGACACCTGGACCTAATAACATGTCCTTGAACAGTTACGCTGTTGTCTAAACACCCATCTGGGTATGGATGTTAAATAAATGACAGAATCTAGTTGGAAGACATTAGAAATACTTGCAATCAACTTAATCCAATCTAATCCAACCCAATTCACAAGACTGACACCCACTCGTGTGAGGTACTATACCGGGTGGTGGAAATAGTGAGGTGAGATCTAATGAACACGACTATTTTTATGTAACAGTCTACTCAATATGTAAAAGCTAGTGTATGAACCAGGGTACATGATACCTCAGTTTATATAGTGGTGGAAGAATGACGAATATTCTAAGCATACAGAATTTGGTTAGTCAATGTTTATTCATTTATTTATGTTCAGAAAATTGTGGGCTCTTTATAAAGCTATCAGTTATGCTAAAAAATAATCTCATCAGTTAGCAGAAAGCAGGGATGTTGATTGAGCATGTAAACCAAACTATTCTAGATCTGCCCCTGAAACAGGCTGTTCCAACAGGATGAGTACAGCAGAAATAGTTACATTGGAATAAGAGTTAGGACCAAGTTCTCAACCTTAGCTTTGCCAAAAACTGACTCCACTGGCCTGGGCCAGTTACTGAAATCTCTAACACCATTTCCCTATCTCGCTACATGAAGACTGTTGAATTCAAAGGAGGGAGAAGCAAAGTGGAAATACAGATGGCCAAGAGACATGTGAAAAAATGCTCAAAGTCATTAATCATCAGAGAGGTGCAAATTAAAACGATGAGATATCATCTCACACCTGCCAGAATGGCTCCATCAACAAATCATCAAATGACAAGTGCTGGTGAGGGTGTGGAGAAGAGGGAACCCTAGTCCACTGCTGGTGGGAATGCAGACTGGGGCAGCCACTGTGGAAAGCAGTATGGAGTTTCCTCAGAAAATTAAAAATGGAACTGCCTTTTGACCCAGTGATTCCACTTCTAGGAATATATCCTAAGAAACCCGAAACACCAATTAGAAAGAATCTATGCACCCCTATGTTCATAGCAGCACAATTTACAATAGCTAAGATCTGGAAACAGCCCCACGTGCCCATCAGTAGATGAGCGGATAAAAAAGCTGTGGGACATTTACACCATGGAATACTACGCAGCAATGAAAAAGAAAGATCTCATACCCTTTGGGATAGCATGGAGGGGGCTGGAAATTATTATGCTAAGTGAAATAAGCTAGGCAGAGAAAGACAAATATCACATGATCTCACTCATATGTGGAATCTAATGAACAAAATAGATACAGAGATACAGAACCATGGAGCAGTCAGACGAATTTCAGAGGGAAGGAGGGGATGGGGAGTGGAGGGGGGAGAGATTAATCAAAGAACTTAGATGCATACATTCACAGCCTATGGAGACAGACAATAGTGTGGAGAAAGCCTGGGTTGGGGTGGGGGTGGATGCCGGGTGGAGGGGATCAGTGAGGGAGAAAAAGGGAGACATCTGTAATACTTTCAACAATAAAGATAAATAAAAAATAAAAATTTTTAAAAAGAAGGGAGAAGGACATCAAAGACTGAAGCCTCACAGGGTGATGGTACCTTGTAGGTTAAGCCAAGCTCAGTAACAGATCTCTGCAGTAACAGAATGCTCCAATACGCCCAGAATTACAGTATCAGCCCCAGAAGAACTCATGCCTATTAAACATCTTAAAAACAGACTGGTGAATAAGCCACAATGCCAACTTATTTATGTATACTGAGACACATGACTGCCAAAAGGCCAAATACTCACACTGCCTCCCCTTTTAGGAATGTCTATATGGGAAATCAAAATTTGGAATCAGGAAAAGAGAGTGAAGAGAGCTGAGGTAATTCTAAGACCACGACATCAAGCCACAACAGCTACAATAGCTTTATGTGCTAATTTCCTTTAAAGAGAGACGGTATAGTGTAAGGGAAACGGGAGGGCCACTCACTAGCTGTCTGATCTCTAACAAGTTATTTCATCCCTCCCGTCTCAGTTCAGTTATGGAGATAACTCCTACTTTGTAGGGTTGTGCTGAGGATTAACAACGAAGCGGTAACGCCTCCCACACAGCCTGCCGAGGAGATCAATGTGAGGGCTCAGGACAGCTGAACACCTTCTCCTCTGGGCTCCTGCTTTTCTAGAAGCTGCAGGCACGCTTCCGGATGGCCATAGCTTCTTTCCGTGGATGGCTCTCCAAAAAAATGACTTAATACTGTAACCATACACACATACTGGAGGCCTGCCCTCCTGAGGGTCTACTCTGGTTATCTTTCACTACGCATTGCTTTTCTCCTTCTATTGTGGAAGCAATGTAAGGTGGCCAATGGCTACTCTCCTTCATTATTTTACTTTTATTAGTTTAATTCTCATACGGCAACCTGATCTCCAAATTCTGGGAAAACCATACTATACCCCCTGTCTAATGATAGTTAAAATTGCCCTTTTTAAACTCAAAGGGAAGCCTTGAGCGGTAAAAAGAATAAGTTTATGGATAGTTGTATTATTAGCTTCCAATGGAACTACTTGGGTGCTTCTTCAGGATTTTTATATTAGTTATGTGCCCCTCCTTTTTTTATTTTGGAGATAATTGCAAATTCACATTTCAGAAATAATACAGAGAGATCCTGTATATCCTTCACTCTATCTTCCCAATAGTAACATCTGCATAACCATAGTACAATATCAACAAGCAAGATACTGACATTGATACAATGGTTTGACTTCATTCAGATTTCACCAGTTTTGCATGGACTCCCTTCTGTGTGTATTTAGTTTTATACAGTTTAACCCCATGTGCGGATCTGTGTGACCATCAGCACAGTCAAGGTACAGAACATACAGACATTCCTAAAACAGGAGCCAAAGATCCCTCGAGTTGCCCTTTTATAGCCATATTACTACCCTCCCCGGAACCCTCCTTTCTAATCTCTGGCAACCACTAATCCTTTCTCCACTTCTGTAATTTTATCATCTCAGGAATGTTATACAAGTGGAATCAAAGAGCATGTAACCTTTGGGACTGACTTTTTTCACTGAGCTTTCATTTGAGAATTCCCTGGAGATTCGTCTAAGGTTTGAGTTCATCAATGGTTTGGTACCTTTATTTATGTGTTTTTGTTAATCTTCAACCGAGGATATTTTTCCATTAATCCTTTAGAGAGAGTGGAAGGAAGGGGGAAGAGACAGAGAGAGGGAAAACATCGAAGCGAGAGACATCGATTGGTTGCCCGACTAGGGTGGGGATCGAACCTGCAACTGAGGTATGTGCCCTGGGTCCTCAGTAGGAACCCCCACAACTGAGATCTCCCCCGGACCTTCAGCTGCTGCCTGTGGGAGCCCAGCCAGACCTGTCGCGCCTCCGCACTTCCTACCAGTCTCTATGTGGTTTCTGCTTTAGGTCCTTGGTTATGAGGGTGCTCTCCAGCTCATCTTCAGTTGCAGTTGGTTCAGGATGGTTTTTCTATATATTATTTGTAATTCCAGTTTGGTCCTGGGAGAGTGTCAGTGTAGTGTCCACTCAATCTGCCACCGTCTTGGAAACCCCCTGGGGGCTCTTGGTCTTTTCACTCCTTTCTCCCTCCCTTAAGTAGCACTGTTAACCAAAGAAGGGGACTCTAACATATACTTTTCTTGTCTAAAACAATGTGTTTGTCCTTATTTTGCCCACACTCATTTAATACTGTGACCAAAGAACCTGCAGTCGAGAAACAACACTGATGTGCTTTCTCCTCTCTGTGCTGGAGGATTCCTGGAGGTGCCAGGAGATGAATATTTGGTTAGGTTTGGGTCCTAAGACTCTAATTTTCTGGTTTGACAAGTTGACATATTTGATTGGAGTACCTCTGC